TTTAGGGTTTAGGGTTTAGGGTTTCGGGTTTCGGGTTTCGGGTTTCGGGTTTAGGGTTTAGGGTTTAGGGTTTAGGGTTTGGGGTTTAGGGTTTAGGGTTTAGAGTTTAGGGTTTAGGGTCTAGGGTCTAGGGTCTAGGGTTTAAGGTTTAGGGCTGACAATATGTATATCTGTATATATATATATATATGCCCTTAACCCTAAACCCTATGTACTACATTTATACATACACTGCTTACAGCCGAAGCTTGCCGTGCAAAAGCACATCGTGGCGGCGACGACGACGACATACTAGGAATGATTCTTGCTGTAACCATTACTTGTACTATCCTAGGCTGCCCAGTAACCTAGGCTTAAAAAGGGTGCCCTTTTTCCTTAAAAAGTTTATAAGGGAACCTAAACCCCCCAAAAAGGTAATAAGGGTACTACTGGGCATCCTAGTATCATGATTACTACTACTCATGATTGCTGTTGTTGTTTTGCTTGTCGCTCTACCATGTAGTACTGACAAAACTATTTCAATGACTATTGCTACTGCTATAAACGCTCTTGCTGTAATGAGCCATGGGGCGCGGGAATTCGAACAATGACCTCTGGGGTAGTCAGCCCTAGACCCCTGTAAACCCCAACCTAAAACTCTAAACCCTCCACCCCTAAAACTCTAAACCCCAAAACCCTAAACCCAATAAAAACCCTAAGCCCTGAACCTCTGAAACGAAACCCTAAACCCTAAACCCTAAACCCTAAACCCTAAACTCTAAACCCTAAACCCTAAACCCTAAACCCTAAACCCTAAACCCCAAACCTCAACCGAACTCGCTCCAAAGCGCATGGAACCCCGAAGCGTCAGGGGCTCAGGGTTCCCTGGGTCGGTTAAGGCTTGTAATCCTGGTAATAGTAAGGTTTGAGGGTTTTAGGGTTTTAGGGTTTTAGGGTTTTAGGGTTTTAGGGTTTTAGGGTTTTAGGGTTTAGGGTTTAGGGTTTAGGGTTTGGGGTTTAGGGTTTGGGGTTTGGGGTTTAGGGTTCCATGCTATAACCCTTCGGGCTTAAGGTTTAGGGTTTGCAGGTACACGCGGTAACAAACCCTGAACTCCTTAAACCCTACAGCCCCTAAAACCCTAAAGCCCGAAGCAAAACCCGAACCCTGGCTCCGCCACCGCCGCCACGGCGCACGTTGGCAGCTTCCACACAGCGCAAAGCGGGCGAGCTCGTTGGGCTTCGAGCACGCACGGCAGACCAACCTCGGCTTTGGGATGGAAAAGGTGCAGGGCGTAGGGGGTGGCTTCGATGCGTTGCGTTTACGGCATAAGACTATAACTGTAATATCACTTCTCAAACTACAGCCCTGATTATGGCGCGTAAAGGGTGGAGAAAGTTAGGGCAGTTCGTACAGGATACCTGGCCCAATTGAAGGGGTTCGATGTGAGCACGACAAGGAGCAGGGATCTCCATAAATAAAAGAAAGCACGAATGTACTCAACTTTAGGCTTTAGGGTTTAGGGTTTAGGGTTTAGGGTTTAGGGTTTAGCAATTCGGGTTTCGGGTGTAGGTTATTCAGAAGCTCATTAAGCCCCCAAAGGCGAAGGACATGAAGCTACAGTAGAAAACCGCGAAGACATGCCTGCTCACGAACCAGAAGGGGACCCTGAATGGAATGCAGTGTTTAGGGTTTAGGGCTTTGATTTTGGAAAGTCGAATCCCTGGTCCCTACACCCTAAACCTTGCCCAGCCACACAGAGTAGGCTGATTGGCCGCAGTTTGGCGTGAAGCACTCGCAGGAAGGAATGCCGGTCGACGGGTCGGCGGTCGACATTGGCCCATCTAAACCCCTAAAGACCCTAAAGCCCAAATCTGTTTGACTCCATGTAGTGATTACGTGCCCAACTGCCCAAGCAGGCCCTTACACAAGCTTCTGACACGGGGCGGCCCAGGGCGACTACGGCACTGTGCAAGACCCTAGCGAACGTTCGATAAGTCTGCTAAGTTGGTATGATACCCCTTGTCCTAAACGTCCTGAATAGGGATGAACATTGGGGGTTCTATGGGCTCTATTAATGACTGCTAGTCTAAGGGGGAACATCCCAACTGCTAGGGCTTAAGACATAGGAGTTAGACTGCGGACTTTTTGAGCACCGCCTACCCAGCGGACACACCTACCCGGTTCTCCAGAACCCTAAACCCTAAACCCTAAACCCTAAACCCTTAAAGCACCAAAAACTCTGCCTGCAAGGCATGCGTCGAGCCCCTCCTTCAGCCGGGACGGCTGCAAAGACACTGGGCGTAGGGTTTAGGGTTTGGGGTTTGCGGTTTAGGGTTTAGGGTTTAGGGTTTAGGGTTTAGGAATGAGGGTTTAGGGTTTAGGGTTTAGGGTTTAGGGTTTAGGGTGTAGGGTGTAGGGTGTAGGGTGTAGGGTGTAGGGTGGTTCATGTGAAGATGGCTTGTGGGAGTTGCCAGGGCCCCCCAAGACGGGGCTTAGGGCCTACAGAGGTTGCATTTAGGGCTTCAGGGCTCCTGTCAGGGCTTTAGGGCTCAGACCACAGCGAACCTGAAGCCATGCTCTTCCTGGGTTTAGGGTTTAGGGTTTTGGGTTTAGGGTTTAGGATTTAGGGTTTCGGGTTTCGGGTTTAGGGTTCAGGGTCTAGGAACTCGAAGCCCTACTTACTCAACCACCCTATCTGACAGGTGAACTCCCCACACCAGCAAGTTATGGCAGTTCAGCCCTCTAAACCGTAAACCCTAAACCCTAAACCCTACACCCTAATGAAACCCGAAACCCTAAACACTAAACCCTAAACCTGTAGAATTTCCCTACAAGACATCTGGCTGGCGTTCAGCGCAGTGTAAGCTCTAATCCTTAGACCCTAAATTTGAAGCCGACACCCCCGTACGTCCAAAACCTGAACCCTAAGACCAAAACCCCACATCCCAAGACCCGAACCCCACCCTAAACGCCTGAACCCAAACCACAGAAAAACAAAACCAACACCACAAGACTTAAACCCTGGCTACACCCCAGGCCCAAATTAAAAAAAACAAAAGAAGACTTAACCCCTTGACTCTCAAAACCAACCCTAGACCCTGAACCCTAGACTCTAGACCTTCACCCTAAACACTAAAAACCAAACAAGTCGGCACTTTTCCGGCCTAGTGCAGTTTTAAAACATCTCGAGCAACCTGGTCCTCAGGACGGCGGTCAGCTCGCCTATGCTAAGCCCTAAACTCTCAAAACCAACCCCAAACCCCAAACCCTAAACCCTAAGCCCTAAGCCCTAAACCCTAGACCCTAAACCCTAAACCCTAAACCCTAGAAGAGGGTATGTCGGACCACCGCGCCATGCACGCACAAGACTGGCCACGAAGCTGCAATAACTGGCAATAACGCTGCCTGCGCCACTGGTGCGCCCACGACACGTCCCAGTCCCAGACTTGAAAAACCTCAACCCACAACCCTACTACAGGGGCCTTAATCATTAGAATAGGGTTTAGGGTTTAGGGTTTAGGGTTTAGGGTTTAGGGTTTAGGGTTTAGGGTTTAGAGTTTAGAGTTTAGGGTTTAGGGTTTCGGATTTAGGGTTTAGGGTTTAGGGTTTAGGGTTTAGGGTTCAGGGTTTAGGGTCTAGGGCTAGGGGCCGGAATAATTAGAATAGCGTTTTTGGCGTCTACAGGGGTTTACGAAAAGAAGGGACCCTTCATATTGGTAGGATACCCTTATAATAAGGACTCCAATAAGGTACCCCTAAACCCGGAACCCGGAACCCTAAATCCTAAACCCTAAACCCTAAACCCCCATATAGGGGCCATGAGGGAATGCTATTCGTAATCATTCCGACCCCTCGTCGAGTACACCCTAAGCTCAAAAGCTTGAGATTATCACTTCACCGGGGTTTAGGGTTCAGGGTTAAGGGTTTAGGGTTTAGGGTTTAGAGTTTAGGGTTTAGGGTTTAGGGTTTAGGGTTTAGGGTTCAGGGTTCAGGGTTCAGGGTTCAGGGTTCAGGGTTCAGGGTTTAGGGTTTAGGGTTTAGGGTTTAGGGTTTAGGGTTTAGGGTTTAGGGTTTAGGGTTTAGGGTCCAGGGTTTTCAGACTTGAGGTTTCTTAAATTTGAGGTTTCGCCCTTCGCGTAATGGATGCATCTTATCTTAAACCCTTCACACCAAACCCTGCAGTTCAGAGAAACCCGCAGTAAAACTTGACCCGCTGGGGCACGCGTAGACTTCTCCAATAGAGTTTAGGGTTTAGGGTTGAGGGTTTAGGGCTCAGGGTTTAGGGTTTAGGGCTAAGGGTTTAGGGTTTAGGGTTAAGGGTTTAGGGGTGGGAAGTCCTGGTGCAGGATCTTTTGGGGTTTAGGGTTTGGGTTTTAGGGTATGTAGGGCTGAGGTTTGCGGCATTTGGATTCAGGATTTCGGGGCACAACCCTAAACCCTAAACCCTAAACCCTAAACCCTAAACTCTAAACCCTAAACCCTAAACCCTAAACCCTAACGTTTTTTAGAGTTTTAGGATTCAAGGTTGTAGGTTCTCAGGCGGGCTCTGGCTTAAGTTAAACCTAAGGCCCCTAAGGCCCCTAAGGCCCCAAGGCCCTAAGGCCCTAAGGCCCTAAGGCTTAGGTTTGTGGCTTCAGGAGTTATGGTTGAAGTGTGAACTCGGACTCTGTGGATGCACCGGTAGAGAGGAAAACTCGGGTCAAGGGTCTAAGAGTTTGTGGTGTAGGGTTTAGGGTTTAGGGTTTAGGGTTTAGGGCTTGGGGTTTAGGATTCAGCCTCTAGGATTTAGGGTTTAGCGTTTACGGTTGAGGGCATAGGGCTTCGAGATGAGAAGTCTCTGTTGACTTGGCAGTGGCCTCGTTCGAGGTCCAAGCCTGGCGCTGCCCGATCTTTCGATCGTGAACTAACGTCTGCTCAGGTGGCAAACGCGGCAGACTGGGCGAGTCTGGCTTGCCAGGACTCAAGATTGTAGCGGCGAGTTCTTCGATGTTGAGAAGCTTGTATTCCACACCAGACTTCATTAGTCGAGGTCCGGCTCTTGTGCCCTCTGATCTTTCGGCAGTTCGTCATCAGGTTGGACGAGGTCCGGCTCTTGTGCTCTCTGATCTTTCGGCAGTTCGTAGTCAGGTTGGACTGCATGCTGTGCAGGTTTCAAACGAGGCAACTCTGGGAAGACTGCTTTGGCAAACTCGAAAATGTTGAGAACCTTGTAGTTCACCTTAGTAGCCCAGCAACCATATTACAATAAGGGTACGAAGGGTACCCTTTTTTGGCTGGCGACTTTATAAGGGCACCCAGAACCAACCCTAAACCCTAACCCTAAACCCTAAACCCTAAACCCTATGCCCTAAACCCTAAACCCTAAACCCTAAACCCTAAACCCTAAACCCTAACTGGGCTACCAAGCCACTCCGTACTTCTGCAGGAACTTTACCTCACCCTGTTGAGAGCGACCCAGGCTGCCATCACGTTTGGTAACGACGATGAGTTGGCACCCGTTCTCCACAGCCTTAGGGGTTTGGGGTTTAGGGCTCAGCGTGTAGGGTACAGGGTTCAGGGTTTAGGGTGAATGCGAGGATGTTAGCTTGGACAAGTCTGAAGCTTTAACAGGGCTTAGGGGATAGGGTTTCCCACGGTCCTGTACTCCATTCACTCCAAAGCCACTACCGTCCACGAGGCTAGCTTCCTGAAACTTCAAGTCACAAAACTCAAAACAATGTGAAAACCGGCGTCGCGCTGCAATGGTCGTCTTTTGCAGCCAGAGTTGGAACCAGAGGCAGCCCCATGGCGCCACCTCGCCATTATACAGGTGATGGCAGTGGCAAAGCTCTTCATTGTCTTGGAACTTTTGCTTGTCTCCTGCATGATCGCCCCATCCCGGTGCGTTCTCATCCGGCAAGAACACACAAGTTGTGGCAATGGTGTCAGGGTTGTTGAAGTTGGCGGTTCCCAAGCGCAGCGAGTTTTTCACCAAGAAGTTCCAGCCCGCTCCGTGCGCGCCAGGATAGCTGACCTATACTGAACTTGGAAGGAAAAATCAACAGTAACTAAAGTACCCAATAAGTTAAAAACTAAAACTTATTAAAGTACCCAAAAGTCCCAAAAGTTAAAAGAAAAAAGTTATTTCCAAGTACCCCTAAGTGACGATGACATTCCGGCCCTTCACGAGAGCACTCTCAGGCGAGCCGACGAACGTGATGCGCACGGACTTCTTATCGTTCTCCTCTGGGTTGGGCTTAAACCCTTTTGAAAAAGATGTATACATATGTCTTTGAACCCTTACAAAAATATGTAGGTATAGGTTCCTCTATAAAGCCAAACTAAGGAAAATACAAAATAAAAAATGTCCAAAAGCCAACCCAGTCCTCAATGATCTCCGACATTTCGCGGATGCTGGGAATGCGCGTCATGACATCTTCGGTGTCCTCATCGGTCGGGTTGGTGATGCAACATTTCCAGTTAAAGAAGCCATCAAACCACCCAAACCAGCCGTCGTCGTAATCTTCGCGAATGTTCTTCTTTTGCGGGTAGTCCTTCGCAAGTTGAGGGTTCAGGGCTCAGGGCCAAGCCTTTGGGGTTCAGGACACAGGGTTTAGGGTTTAGGGTTTAGGGTTCAGGGTTCAGGGTTCAGGGTTTAGGGTTTAGGGCTTAGGGTTTCGAGTTTCGAGTTTCGACGGGTTGGGGCTTAGGACATAGGGCTTCAGGGGCATGAGGGTTTAGGGTTCAGAGGTTAGGGTAGCCCCTAAACCCTAACCCTAGACCCTAGACCCTAGACCCTAGACCCTAAACCCTAAACCCTAAACCCTAAGTCCTGCTCGATGACGGTTTTGTCTTCCACAAGAGCCTTGGCCATGGCCCTCGGAAGGGATGGGAGCTCTTCGTGCTAGCCTTGAGAGCTCCAGCCGCTTCTGGAAGAGAAATGCCATCAACGGGTGTAGGGTTTAGGGTTTAGGGTTTAGGGTTGAGGGTTGATGGTTTAGGGTTTAGGTTTAGGGTTTAGGGCTTGTAGGGTTTAGGGTTTATGCTTACAGCCCATTTTTTTTTTTTTTGGGGGGGGGGGGGGGGGGGGGGGGCGTCATCATCGGGCCCTTCGGCTCTAAGGGCTTAGGTCGCCAGAGCTCTTGTCCAGGCCCAGCAGTAGCCTAGGAATACAAAGGGCACCATTTTTTGGGTTAGAAGAGCTTACAAGTAAAAATGAACCACCCTAAACCCTAAACCCTAAACCCTAAACCCTAAACCGTAATGAGGGTCTACTCTGGGTCCTCGTTTAGGTCTATGCCTGCAAGACCGGCTTACTCGACGAAGGAGGGTTCACATTCACAGTGAGTTGCGAACCAAGTAGTAATGGCACTTGTCACCCAATCATGACCAGATTAGGGTAATTCAGGGGCTTATAAGTAGATTATAAATGCAGCTATAAGTGTCTCTTAAGTAGCATGAACCTCCAAGTAGGGCTTCTTGGGCCCGAGGGTTGACCACTATGAAGCCACAAGTCCTCCACCCATAAATCAGGGTTTCGGGATGTGGCCCTGTAAAAATGACGAAACTTCCAGGAACCTTTATGCCATAGAACTGTAACAGAGCGTTTCCAAATACACACCGAAACCCTAAACCCTAAACCCCAAACCCCAAACCCTAAAACCTCGACCCTAAACCCTAAACCCTAAACCCTAAACCCTAAACCCTAAACCCTAAACCCTAAACCCTAAACCCTAACCCTAAACCCTAAACCCTCCATGCCTCGGCATCAGTGACCCGATTCAGGTGCCACATGGCATGCCCCCGGCCTCCACTTCTTTGCCAGCTGTGAGGGTGTAGGGTTTAGGGCTTAGGGTTTAGGATTTTGGAGAAAGGGGGGGGGGGGGGGGGGGGGGGGGGGGGGGGGGGTTACTTGGAGGATCAGGGGACTTAGTACCACGAGGGGGTTTGGGGTTTAGGGTCTAGGGTTTAGGGTTTAGGGCTTAGGGTATTTAGGGTTTAGGGTTTAGGCTTTAGGATTACTTAGTCAGTGGGGTTGTAAGTAAGGTGACTCTACTTATAATTACTTATAGCCCCCAATTCGGTTACTTATAACCCTACTTACTAGTTGCCCGATCCTCCAAGTAGGGGGGTGGGGTACGTGGAGGTTCAGAGAACCTATAACCCCAATATAACTGTACTTATAACCCACTTATCAACCCTTAATTACCCTAACATGGTGATAATTGGGTTATAAGCTGGTTGGTAAGTACCATGAACCTCCAGGCAAGGGGCTGAGGGGTTAGGGTTTGAGGGGAGAGGGTCGCAGGCTTAGAGGGCTAGAGGGTTCGGAGGGTCAGAGGGTTAGAGGGTTGTAGGGCTTGTTAGGGTTATAAGCATCCTTAAGTAGATAGAATATTTGAAATCCCGCCCCCGTTTCCAAAACGACAGATAGAATATTTCCAAACTCCAAAACGATAGATAGAACATATTCCAGGGGCCAAGAGAAGCACCCAGGCGTGGCTGCTGAGAGAAGTGGGTGAGAAATGGGCTGGCAGGAGGGGCGTGGGGCTCCGGAAACAGCCCTACACGTCCCCAAAAAACACATGGCATGTCCCTTATAAGGGAAATATGCGGAATTTCATTTTTGTTTTTTCCTTTGGGGTTCTTAAGCAAACAGCAGACGGAATTACAAGGCCCATTGGTGCCTGAACAGAGGCTCTGATGAGTCTTGATGACCCAGGGCCCGGGGCTAGTGGAGTGGAGGTTTCACCGGTGAGGCGCCCCTATCGGTTTAGGGTTTAGGGGTTTAGGGGTTTAGGGGTTTAGGGGTTTAGGGGTTTAGGGGTTTAGGGGTCTAGGGTTTAGGGTTTAGGGGTTTAGGGGTTTAGGGGTTTAGGGGTTTAGGGGTTTAGGGGTTTAGGGTTTAGGGGTTTAGGGGTTTAGGGGGTTAGGGGTTTAGGGGTTTAGGGGTTTAGGGGTTTAGGGGTTTAGGGGTTTAGGGGTTTAGGGGTTTAGGGGTTTAGGGGTTTAGGGTTGAAGGTTTAAATTTAGAGCTTGCCTATACTCGCCCCAGCTTAATCGCTGAGGCGGGTTTGGGGGCCCTCTGCAAACGCAAATTTCCCTGGGTGTTGTGGGATATCTGGGGGGCGGAGGGGGTTAAGGCCCGCAGAACTTCACAATTTGTTCCCCCAAAAGGCCCCTACCCAAAACCCGAAGCCCTGAACCCTGAACCCTAAACCCTGAACCCTAAACCCTAAACCCTAAACCCCGAACCCTGAACCCTGGTTTTCGAAGGGGTGCAGTGAGGGTGCAGATCACGCCCTCAACCCTGGACCTTCAAGACCCTTGGAACCCTGAGGCAAAAACACAGAACCCCTAGACAAGTTTAGGGCTTAAGTTTAAGCCCTAAACCCGAAATGCCCTAAAACCCTTATAGCCCTAAAAGCCTTAAAAGCCCTTAAAAGCCCTGAAAGCACTAAACCCTAAAGCCCTAAAAGCCCAAAAAGCCCTAAAAGCACTAAGCCCGAAAAGCCCTATACTTCTAAACCCTACGCCCTAAATCCTAAACCCTAAATCCTAAACCCTAAGCCCTAAACCCTCAACCCCAGACCCTCAACCCTAAACCCTAAACCCTAAACCCTAAACCCTAAACCTAAAGCCTAACACTAAACTCCTGAACTCTCGGGCCCTGGGCCGCTCAGGCCCCAGCGGACGTGGCTTTTGTACCACTCGGGGCGCAGCTGGCAAGCCTTGTCCTTGGGCTTGCGGGAGATCTTAGGGTTTAGGGTTTAGGGTTTAGGGTTTAGGGTTTAGGGTTTAGGGTTTAGGGTTTAGGGTTTAGGGTTTAGGGTTTAGGGTTTAGGGTTTAGGGTTTAGGGTTTCGGGTTTCGGGTTTCGGGTTTAGGCTTTAGGGTTTAGGGCTACAGTAGTTTAGGATTTTAGGATTTGGGGCTTTTAGGGCTTAGGGTTTCGGATCTATGTAGGCTTCCAGTTGGGGGTGCCTCAAACCCTGGGTTTAGGGTTTAGGGTTTAGGGTTTAGGGTTTAGGGTTTAGGGCTC